TTTGATGTTTATCAATCTGAAATCTTAGTGTCTCATTAGAGTCAAACTAAAACATATGTATATTTATATTTTATGGTCAATAATTATTATTAATTTTTTTTAAAAAAAAAATCAAAAAGGTCCATTTACAATATGTACTGTAAATATATTGGGGTTTTCTTTGTTTTTCAGCATCTAAAACGTTACTGTCGTTAAACCTCAAAGACTCTCATGTAAAACACACCTGAATTATTTCAGTTCTCCGTGGCTGAACTTTGACCTTTGCCACAGACCTTTGTCAGGTGCTGACCTGCAGCTGAAGACCCCCCTCCCAACCCCCCATAACCGTCTGACCCTCTGATATTTCTAACCGTTACTCCGCTCCGGCTCGGTCTAAAATAGAAGGCGCCGTCTGTGGTTGATTAACAACTGCCACGTCTTCTGCTGATCTTTCAACTAGTGTTGAGCCGTATAACACCGGGAGTCCAGGTGTTCCACATTAAAACCATTCTGTCAACCCAAAGGGCGTCGTTCTTCTCTTTTATGGCAGGCTCTAAATCTGAGGCTTTGAGTGCCACTGACAAAAGGCTCCGCACCGAACCAACGCACGGCAAAGTAACGGGAAAAGTCGAAGAACTCGTACGATGAGCGTTGGTTGGGTAAGAATTCCCAGTGTTACTAATAATATTCTCCACTTATTCTACATTCAGGGTTAATGTACAGCATTCCATTCAGTCTAAATGACCACTCAGAACCGTTCGCCTTTTCACTTCCTTTGTCTGATGATTTGACACAGATTATATTTTTTTTGTATGCGGCGCCATCTGTCACGCTCATTCACACGATGTCAGAACGACCCTCAAGAGGAACATGGAGGTTTAATGTCTTTGTACAAAGGTGGAGCGTATTTTATAAGGTTTGAGTAGAAAAAAAAAAAAATGGGTTTAAGAGGGAAAAAAAAAAATGGGTTTAAGGGGAAAAAAAAAGTCTGTCAGTTGTGTGTTTATGTGACGTTGTGTTTCAGCCTGGTGTAGCAAAGATTTTAGGTTTGTTAGCGTTTATATCGTGATTTTTTTTGTTTAACTGTTGGACTGTCCATGAAGAAGGAGGTGAAGAGGCTGAAGGTTTCAGTGTATACGACACCAAACAAACACTGAACTGATGCAAGATAAAACAGAGTATCATCTGCAAAGTGTTTTACAAAGTAGAGGTGAAATCACCACGTAGTTATTCCTTTGGTCGATGCTTATATTATAAGCATCGACCAAAGACCTAGGATTCAATAATAAATTATAAAAAAAAAAAAAAATTAAAATGGAAGTTTAATTTTTTTCCTCTCACCAGTGGATGAGTGAATTCGGGGGCGTGGTCGTTGTTGTCTGTGATGGTGATGGTGGCCGTCGCCGTTCCTCTGAGGCCAACTTCACTTCCTGCCATGTCTTTGGCCACGATCTCCAACTCGTACGTCGTTGTCGGCAGCGTCTGGAGAAAAGGGGATAAAAGAGAAGAAAAGCTTTGATGAAAAGTTCCAGAAAATGAAACAAACGAAAGAGCGAGGTCTTTGGAAAAAATGTGCTCTGCACTATTCAAACAAAAGAAATACGAAGAAAAAAAAACCCCGTGATCATTAGATAAATTGTTTCCAAGTGGGTGATTTCATCTCTCCAGTGAACACAAAGGCCAGTACTTATCACCATGTCCTGTATTATTATAAGGCCCTTCATCGACGCGTGAAGACTTTTATAACGGCTTTTATAGACTTTTATAGCAGCACAGGATGGAGTCTATTGTTTGACACATGCTTAAAAATTAAAAAAAAATTACAAAGTACATTTGTATTTTTTCGCTCACATTAGTGTTCATACAGTGTTAACAGCTGCAGTGACTATTATTCACATCTCTGGGGAAAAGATCAGGCATAAAAGAAAAATCAAAGTGTGGCCTTTAAAGATTTACAGGAGTTGATGAAAATCTATTGTTCAATAAAAGACTGTGCTCATTTATTTAGAAGTATATTTAAAAGTATTAAAAAAAATCTTTAAAAATAAGACAAAATAAAATCAGGACCACGGACAGCTCAGAACTGAAATGCCTTTAAAACAACTGTCAAAAAATATTAAAAATATAATATATATATATAGAAAATCAGTGCAAAAACAAACATGAGAATGAGAGTTCATTCGTCGTTGCCTTGGTGGCGCTGCAGTAACACGACACTCACTGACTTTGGAACCACTTTCATCAGGCAGAATGTACAGTATTTTGAGCTCAAACAATGAACGCAAAAAGCCAAAACATTATTTCCAGTGGGAATAAAAACATATTTGCTGACACAAAATTCACCTTTTCAGAATAATATATATTGAACAGACAAATGCAGCAGGTAATTATAAAAAAACACAGCGTGCTGTGGGTGATTTGACTGCAGCGGAGCAGACATCTGAGTGAGAATTCATCT